GTGAGATTAAGGTTAGATAACTTTTTGTAGTTATTGTAAATTACAGCCTTGTGCCATGCATTCCATACCTAGTATTCTAGTGCCATATGTTCAGTATGAAGCTCTTACAATGTTTACAGGTGACACGTTTACTTTGAGCTTCCTTGGCACGGGCTACATAAGTACAATTGGGTCCTGGACAATAACGTAGCTCTGGATGGCTCTATGGGTAAGAGAGCTTTGTTGTAAACACACCTACACAACACAAGCACACACAATAATCGTACAGCATGAATTATATGTTATTATTAAATGTTTTTGTAACTTATAAACAACAGAACTTTTAAAAACTTGCATTAATGCACTACAATCACCATATTACAATATTCATTTTCAAATTGCAAAGAAGTAAAAACTTGAAACTATGAAATACACCTTCTTCTGGTAATTATTTATTTTTCAAATAATGAATGTTAAAAATATGATATTTGTAATGCAATGTTTCCCTCTTGTTTCGTCCCTGTGAATATCTGACATTTACTACTTGTTTTATCTGACACAGCAACAGATATTAAAGCTATGGGTGCATCAGAACTGGAATGACTAAACTGAAAAACAGTTTAGTTTTTAAAAGCACGTTATAAAGAGTACTTTTCAAAAATAATATGCCAGTGTTATAAAGAGATTTTCTCCAGATAATATTTCTGTGGAACTGTTCAAAATCTGAAAATGGGACTCAGATTGGTATTAGTAAAAACAACACAGGAGATCTAAAGTTCACATTAGAGCATGAAATAAAATAGTGAAGAAAGAGAATGAAAAAAAGATACAGTTGTTTAAATAACTACTATAATTACTGTGGATCTTCAATTTTATGTTGGTACATTTCTAAATTGCACATTAAACTATGCAATAAAATCATGAAGAAACAGGATAAAAGGATCCAGTTGTTTAAATAACTACCACTGTTATTGTGGATTTCTGATCTCATGGTGGTACATTCTGAAGTTCATATTATAATATAAAATACAAGAATGAAGAACTAGAAAAAAAAAGATACGTTTGTTTAAATAACAGCTAGTGTCACATGGAAGTCAACCCAGGAGATGGATTAAGTACCTGATTGAAAAGGTCCCCTCAAAATACAAATTAATAAAAACTGAAAAAAAAAGAAGTGGTCCAGAAAAAAAACTGAAGACAGGGCCCCCTAAAATACAAAACTGTTTTTGACAATTGGCTTTTAGTGAGGTGCCAAATCAGAGGTACCTTTCCATTGAATTTTATACACTTTGTTTATATGTGAAAAACACCATGATAATTTGATTATCAGTACTGAACTTAACTTTCAAACCAAAGTCATATAACAAAAAGCCCTATAATAACATATAGTTATGAAATGTATTTCTTCACTGTAGTTCTCTGATATTATGTAGTCTTCCTTAGAACATCTGTACATTAGTTTTTGCTGTTATAAATGCCAAGGGTTTTTATTTAGCCCAATGGAGTTCAACAGCCTGTATTACTACTGTTCTTGTTGAATAACAATGTGTGTTTCTTATAGAAAAGCCATATTGGGCTATCTGCTGTGCTGACCAAGGGTAATCGAAACCCGATTTTTTAGCATCATAAATCCATAGACTTACCACTGTCCCACCAGGGGACAAGTAACAGAATCTAATCATCAAGTTGTTAATGTGTACAGCAATTAATTTTGAAAGGTATCACCAGTTCTTTTTGACACAATGAAAGTAAACATTACATGTCAGAATGTTGTCTAATTTCTAATTCTATTCAGACTGTATGTCTCACAATAGAAATACAGATGACTCAGTAATAAACCATTATATAAATGCAACCATGCTCTGGAAATATCTTGTCAACAAAATCATCTTTATATAGATTTATCTGCTCTGCTATTCAATGAGATTTAGACACTTTTCAGTTTTTTTCACAAGGAGTCTTATCTGCTATTTAAATAATCTTCCAAAAAGTAAATTACTGTAAATTCATTTGTTTTGTTTTTAAAAGTATAGTCCATAAAATATAAATGTACTCTAACTTACCCTTACATAATCAGAAAAGGCAAACTGTTGATATCGTTCTCGAAGGCAGGATTTACTGAGCATGTTCAAAGCAAAGTCTTCTGGCACTAGAATATTACAGCCTTGTGCCATGCATTCCATACCTAGAGTTATTGTAAAACAAAAAGTTATTCACCTTAATCTCAAACAGTCATTTTGGTAAGCTATGAGAAAATATCTTGTATGATGTTTTATACATTGAATACAGTTTAGATTAGTTTTATTCTAGAATAATGTTTTGTTTATTGGTCATCAGAACTGACTCAGTGTTGCAGTGATTTTTTGTTTCTTTATATTCAGGCTATGAAGAATCACATGCAGTGCTGTTAATTGTTTAAAATACAGAATTTGATATCAAATACACCATCCATATCTTTTGTTTGTAGCGATAATTAACTATGTATGAGCTACTGGGGTATTCATATACAACTATGTATGAGCTACTGGGGTATTCATATACAACTATGTATGAGCTACTGGGGTATTCATATACAACTATGTATGAGCTACTGGGGTATTTATATACAACTATGTATGAGCTACTGGGGTATTCATATACAACTATGTATGAGCTACTGGGGTATTTATATACAACTATGTATGAGCTACTGGGGTATTCATATACAACTATGTATGAGCTACTGGG